GGGGTTTTCATAGTAAAACCCTCAGAGTACTTTAATCTGAGGCCTTCATCTCATTTTCTTTCGAGACAAGGAACTAAGTACCCCCAATGACCACTTACTACTTTCAGCCAGCTTTTTTTTTTTTTTTTTTTTTTGCATCCCAGTCCCATTTTTTTTTTCTTTCCTGGGCCACTCTAACCTGTGATAAAGGCGCACATGTGTGATAATGTAATGGTTGGTTAAGAAACATAGGATTTCAAGTTTCAGAGTTAAATCCAACCGAGATTGACCATAAATCACGGAGATGAGTTAAGAAGCTGGAGATGAGAGAAATGGATTCCAAACAGCAATGTAGTCTACAGCACTTAAAGGACAGGGAGGGGAATCCCACACCAAACTGATGGGAATTTCCCTTCCCTCCTGAGGTGACCACAACTGAGTAAGCTAGGTCCCTGACATTTCTATTTAAGGAAGTAGGTAAATGGGAGGCTATCTTACTCCATAAAACATTTCAGGGAGAAGTAAACACTTAGCCAGATGAGTACACAATCAAGTCATCTTGAAAACTGGCTGCTTCTTTCAACAGAGGGCATGATTTATATTCTCGTTTCTTTTTTTAATTACAAGAAGTGTTTCACTTGTAAGATGACCTGCATCAGAAAGAAGCCAATCCACTTAGGATTTTAAAAATCTGGAGAAACTTGGGACAGCACTTGAATGTCAGGTTGTCCTGCCAACACACACAAAGGTTTCTCCCCGCAAGGTAAATGCCCCAAGACAAGGTCAGTATTAACTAGACGGCAAAACAAGGAAGAATGGTCCACTCTGATCACTAAGGTATGCAAACCAATAGATATTTCCAAGGTCAGACACAGTAAACTGCCAACTAAGTATGAAATGCACGCTTTGTATGAGGTTGTACAGAACACACCAGTGGTAACCTTAGGCACCGGGGACGTTTCGAAAACAAACATGCTTCTTTAACTTACAGTTTGAGTTTGCAAAAATTCGTTTTCAGGTATGTGTTCGGTGGATAAGAGGAGTTGGCAAGGAGTGGGTTTGGGAACGTTCCGACATGCAAATAGGTTCTGTTATGAATTAAAAGCCAGGTAAAACTCTGTCCCGTGAAAATAAAGGGTGGAGTCTGGTAAGCTAAGGACTAGAAGGGTGCGGACGGCGCTCGGAGGAGCAGCTGTTGCCCAAGCCAGCCGCGGAGTCACGGCGGAGGGAGGGAGAAGGGCCACCGGAATGCGGAAAGCCGTGGTTCAGCTCCGGGGCCAGCCTGCCTTGGAAAGTCCTGGCGCGGAAAGGCGCACTAACCGACCCCCGAACAAAACGCCGATCCGCGCCGCTACTTCTCTAAAGCTGGCCCTCCCGGATCGGGTCGTCGCCGCCGAGCGCGCGTCCTCCCCAGAGGAAACAGGAGCGGGACAAAAGTGCCGCTCCCCCCAGCCACCCCGGCCGCCGGATCCCATCCGCCGCCGCCGCCCTCCCCTCCCCCTCGTCCGCCCGCCCCCGCACACCTTCACGCGGTTGAGCCCGGCTTCCAGCCGGAGCTGTTGAACCACTTTCTTCATAGCGGCGACGCTGGAGGAACCCGACATGGCGCTCGCGAGAGCCGGGCAGATTCGTCGTTGCGGGAATCGGTCCGGTAGAGGGTCCGCGGGGTCTGACGGCGGGGCAGCGCGGCGGGGGGCGGGGCTCCGAACTTTGTCTCTTAAGTTTCCGGTTCTTTGCCCAGAGGCTCCACCCGCGGCGCGCATGCGTGTCCTCCACGGCTCTCAGTTCCAGCTCCTCTCCCCACGCAGGAGCGGAGCCGGAGGGAGGGGAAGAAGGGAGTGAGAAGGGGAGGATCGCGCTTTGGGCAGAGGAGCAGCGGGAAGCCAGCGAGACCTGTCGCCCATCTTCCTCTCCCGAGAGGCCGACTTAGGAGAGGTAAAGAAAAAGCTCATTAGCCGCCAACACTCGAGGGGAACCTGAAAAGGACTGGTTAGGAAAGGCGGGTGCTTGAAGGAGTTTATAAAAGACCTGCTGGACAGGTGACAAAGAGGTTCCAGTTTTCCTGACGGCCTTGGCGGCAGAGGTTGTGGGAAGAGAAGGGCCCAGCCGAGGAGTAGGAGCCTGAAGTAGCCGGCGCGAGTTACGGACACCCCGTCTCCTTAGAGACGCGTCTCTAAAACGCTACCCGAGTTTGTGGGCCGGCAGGTCTTCAGCCAGTTTCCGGCCATCAGACCCCCCTGAGGCCCAAAGCTCTCTTTCGAGCTCGGAGGTCGCCGTAACTGACCGAGGGAAGCGGGGCGGCGGGGAGCAGGGGTGCTGGCTCGCTAGGGGAAAGCGCGTCTTCTCAGGATTTGGCTTCTCTCGCTTCTTATCTCTTGGTTTTTTTCGAAGAGGTGGTGAAGAAGCCAAAGTACTTGCAGAAGATTACACCCGTCTCATCTTGTTATCCACTTCACTTGGGGAATTAACGCTTATTACACCTTAAAAAATAAAACAACTTTTGGTGCTTCCGGAAAGTTTGTTTTGTATTTCAGTGGTAACTTATTACCTGCTGCTTGAAATTGACCTTCAGAGGAGTTGCTGGAGAGAGAAACAGTAGTATCTAATCAAGCAAAATAAGCTCAGCCAATGAATGTCTCACCCATGGAAACTTATTTGTTATGTCACAGCGCTTAGGATAAGTGTTTCCTCCTATTCAACGATTAAAGTACATCAAGGAATACACTACTGTTTTCTTTCTATAAACGTGAATGATTTAATCACTGAGACATTTCAGATTTTTTTGTGTAGTGAGAAAATCCACATATAATTTGCTCTAATTGACAAATAACACATTATTTACTAAATAGTTCAAATCACTTTACAAAAATGTACAGGGTGCTTTAGTAGTTTATTTAATTCATACAATAGATGTAATAACTAGGGTTAAAAACCAAGGTTTAAATTCTGGCTCTACCACTTACCTTGGTATTCTCCACCACCACCCCTCCCCACCCCCTCCTGCAGGCCAAAGCCATTTAAACTTTGCTGAGCCACTGTTTCCCCATTTCATAATGAAGTAATAAATCTATCCAGAATTTTTAAAATTTAATTGAAGTACAATTGACACACAATGTTACATTAGTTTCAGGTGTAGAACAGTGATTTGACAACTCTCTTCATTATGCTGTGCTCACCACAAGTGTGGCTGCTATCTGTCACCATACAATGCTATCACAGTACCGTTGACTCTATTCCTCGCTGTACCTGTTATCCCAGAGACTTATTCATGCCATAGGTGGAATCTTGTACCTACTACGACCCTTCATCCATTGTGCCCATCCCCCCACCCTCCTTCCCTCTGGCAACCGTAAGTTCTCTGTATATGGGTCTCTTTCCGGTTTTGTTTGTTCCTTCATTTATTTTTTCGATTTCACTTATAAGTGAAATCATATTGTATTTGTCACTCTTTGATTTATTTCACATAGCATAATATTCTTTAGGCCCATCCGAGTTGCAAAGGGCAAGGTCTCATTCTTTTTTAGAGAGGAGTAATATTACATTACTGAATGATATTCTGCATGTTCTTTTTTTTATAACTTTTTAGTGTTATTTATTTTTGAGAGAGAGAGAGAGATGGAGTGTGAGCAGAGGAGGGACAGAGACAGAGAGAGGGGGAGACACAGAATCTGAAGCAGGCTCCAGGCTCTGAGCGGTTAGCACAGAGCCTGGCGCGGGGCTCGAACTCACAAACCGTGAGATCATGACCTGAGCCGAAGTTGGATGCTTAACCGACTGAGCCACTCAGGTGCCCCTATATATTCTTTCTACATTCATCCATTGATGAATACTTGGGTTGCTTCCATACCTTGGCTGTTGTAAACATTGCTGCAGTAAACATAGAGGTGCATATATCTTTTCAAATTAGTGTTTTCATTTTCTGCAGCTAAATATCAGGTAGCAGAATTACTAGATGGTATAGTGTTTCTATTTTTAATTTTTGAAGAACCTGCATACTGTTTTCCACAATGCCTGCACCAATTTACATTCCCACCAACAGTGCAGGAGAGTTCCTTTTTCTTCACTTCCTTGCCAACACTTTTATTTCTTGTGTTTTTGAAACTAGCCATTCTGAGGGGTGTGAAGTGATCTCCTTGTGGTTTTGATTTGCATTTCCTTGGTGATTATTGATTTTGAGGATCTTTTTATATGTCTGTTGGCCATCTGTGTGTTGTCTTTAAAAAAAATGCGAGTTCAGGTCCTCTGCCCATTTTTTAATCAGATTGTTTTTTGGTTATTGAAGTATGATTAACATACAATGTTATATTAGTTTCAGGTGTATAACATAATGATTCAACAGCTTTATACATTACTCAGTGCTCATCACAATCAGCATACTCACCATCTCTCACCAAACAATATTATCACAATATTATTGGCTGTATTCTTATGCTGTACTTTTTGTTTCCATGACTTATTTTATCACTGGAAGTTTGTACGTCTTAATTCCCTTTATTTCACTCATCTCCCTACTGTCCTCTGGAAACCATCAGTTTGTTCTTTGTATTTAAGGGTCTGGTGTTTTGCTCATTCATTTGTTTTTTAGGTTCCACATGTAAGTGAAATCATATGGTGATTGTCTCTCTCTGTCTGACTTATTTCACTTAGCCTAATACCTTCTAGTTCCATTCATGTTGTTGCAAAGGGCAAGACTACATTCTTCTTTATGGCTGAGTAGTATTCAATTGTTTATATAAACCACTTCTTCTTTATCCATTCATCTGTCAATGAACAGTTGGGTTGCTTCCATATCTTGGCTATTATAAAATAATACTGCAATAAACATATGGGTGCATATATTTTTTGAATTCATGTTTTTGTTTTCTTTGGGCAAATACCCAGTAGTGGAATTACTGAATCATATGGTATTTCTGTTTTTAATTTTTGAGGAACCTGCATAGTGCTTTCCACAGTGGTTGCACCAATTTACATTCCTACCAACAGTGAATGAGGGATTCTTTTTCTCCACATCCTTGCCAACACTTGTTCGTGTCTTTTTGATTCTAGCCATTTATATATGTGTAAGGTAATAAATACCTCGTTGTGGTTTTGATTTGCATTTCCCTGATGATTAGTGATGTTGAACATCTTTTCATGTGTCTGTTGGACATCTATATGTCTTTTTTGGAAAAATGTCTGTTCAGATCATCTGCCCGTTTTTTAATTTATTTGTGGGTTTGATGTAGAGTTGTAGGAGTTCTTTATATATTTTGCATATTAACTCCTTGTCAGATATGTCAATTACAAAAAAAAAAAAAAAAAAAGAAATCTTCTCCCATACAGTAGGTTGTCTTTTCATTTTGTTGATGGTTCTAATGCTGTGCAAAAGTTTTTTATTTTGGTGTAGACTTAATAGTTGTGTTTTTTTTAATATTTTTTTAAAAGTTTATTTATTAAATTTAAGAGAAAGAGAGTAAGCATGAGCAGCGGAGGGGCAGAGAGAGAGGGAAAGAGAGAATCCCAGGCAGGCTCTGCACTGTCAGCACAGAGCCCTGATGTGGGGTTCGAACTCTCAAAACCTCAAGATTATGACCTGAGCCAAAATCAAGAGTCAGATGCTTAAGCAACTGAGCCACCCAGGTGCCCCAGAGCTTTTTGATTACCAACTGAATTTTGTTACTAGTAATCAGCCTGTTCAGATTTTTTATTTCTTTCTGATTCAATCTTGGAAGATTGTATGTTTTTCTATGAGTTTATTCTAGGTTGTCCAATTTGTTGGCATGTAATTTCTCATAGCAGCCTCTTATAATTTGTTGTATTTTTGTAATGAAGCTTGTTATTTCTCTTTCATTTCTGATTTTATTGAGGCCTCTCCCTTTTTTTCTTGATGAATCTGGTTACAGGTTTATTAATTTTGTGTATCTTTTCGGAGGACTCACTGTTAGTTTCACTGATTTTTTTTTTTTTCTTCTGTTTCATTTATTTCTGTTCTGATAGGATTTCCTTTCTTCTCTGGTTCCTTTAGGTGTAAGGTTAGATTGTTTGAGATTTTTCTTGTTTCTCAAGGCAGACCTATATCATTATAAACTTCCCTCTTAGAACTACTTTTGATACATCCCCAAAATTTTGAACCATGGTGTTTCCATTTTTATTTATCTCTTGGTTTTGATTTCCTATTTGATTTATGACTTATTGGGTGTTTAGTAACGTGTTTTCAAATCTCCACATTTGTATTTTTTCCTTTTTTTTGTAATGATTTCTAGTTTCATATTCTTGTGTTCAGAAAAGATGCTTGATTTTATTTCAGTCTTCTTAAATTTATTGAGACTTGTTTAGTGGCCTAACATGATCAATCCTAGAGAATGTTCATATGCACTTGAAAAGAATGTATATTCTGCTGTTTGGGGATGGAGTGTTCTGTATATATCTGTTAAGTTCATATGGTCTAATGCATAATTCAAAGCCAGTCTCTGTGTTGATTTTCTGTCTGGATGATCTATCCATTGATGTAAGTGCGGTGTTGTTAAAGTTCCCAACTGTGATCATATAACTGTCAATTTCTGCCTTTATGTCTGTTCATATTCTTTTATATATATAAGTACTCCTATATTAGGTGCACAGATATTTACAATTGTTATATACTTTTGTTGTATTAATCACTTTATCATTACATAATGCCCTTCATTGTCTCTTGTTACAGTCCTTGTTTAAAGTCTATTTTGTCTGATATAAGTATTTCTACCCTAGCTTTTTTTTTTGCCACTTCATTTGTGTGAATATCTTTTTCTATCCCTTTACTTTCAGTTTGTGTCTTTAGGTATGGAGTGAGTTTCTTGTAGGCAGCATTTGGAGGGGTTTTTTTTTTTTCTTTTCTTTTTTTTTTTTTTATATGCGTTTTGTCACCCTGTGTCTTACCTGGAGCATTTAGTCCATTTACATTTGAAGTAATTATTGATAGGTATGTACTTACTATAATTTTCTTCATTGTTTTCTGGTTGTTTTTATTGTTCTCTATTCCTTTCTTCTTCTCTTGATCTCTTCCCTTGTGATGACTTTCTTTAATGTTCTCCTTTGTCTTTATATTTGTGTATCTGTTACAGGCTTTTGGTTTGTGGTTATGAAATTCATATACAACATCCTAAGTATATAGCAATCTATGATAAGTTGATGGCTGCTTAAGCTTGAACACATTTTAGAAGCATGACATTTTTACTCTTTCCCCCTTCACGTTTTATGTATATGATCACATTTTTCACCTTTTTATTTTGTGACTTCCTTAACTACTTTTTTTTTTACATATAATTGATTTTACCACTTTTGATGTTTAACCTTCATACTAGCTTTGTAAGTGAATGATTGACTACCTTTACTATATGTTTGCTTTTATTAGTGAAATTATATCCTTTTATAATTTTCTTCTAGTTATGGCCTTTTCCACTTAAAGAAGTCCCTTTAACTTTTCTTGTAAGGTTAGTGGTGATGAACTCCTTTAATTTTTGTTTGGGAGACTCTATCTTTCCTTCAATTGTGAATGATAACCTGGCCGGATATAGTATTTTTGGTTGTATTTTTTTTTTCCTTTTAGTGCTTTGAATATATCATGCCACTCCCTCTGGCCTGCAAAGTTTCTGCTGAAAAATCAGGTGATAGATAGCCTTATGGGGTTTTCCTTGTATGTAACTAGTTGTTTTTCTCTTGTTATATTTGAAAGTCTCAATCTTTAGTTTTTGGTGTTTTAATTATTAGGGGTTTGATGTGGACCTTTTTGGGTTTATCTTATTTGGGATTCTCTCTCTGCTTCCTGGGCCTACTTCTCTGTTTTCTTACCCAGGTCGAGGAAGTTTTCAGCTATTATTTATTCAAATAAATTTTCTGCCCCTTTCTCTTCTCTTTCTGGGATTACTACACTGCAAATGTTCGTATGTTTGATATTGTCCCAGAATTCTCTTAAGATTTCCTCATTTTTAAGAATTCTATTCTCTTGTGGCCCCTGGGTGGCTCAGTCAGTTAAGCGCCAAATTCGGCTCAGGTCACAATCTTGTGGTTCGTGAGTTCAAGCCCTGCATGGGCTCTGTGCTGACTTCTCCGAGCCTGGAACTTGCTTCAGATTCTGTAACTCTCTCTGCCCCTCTCCTGCCTGCTCGCTCGCTTGCTTGCTCGCTCTCTCTCTCTCTCTCTCTCTGCCCCTCCCCAACTTGTGCTCTGTCTCTTAAATAAACAAACTTAAAAAAAATTTTTTTTTAATTCTTTTCTCTTTTTGCTGTTCAGCTTGGGTACTTTTTGTTACCCTGTCTTCCAGATCACGGAATCTCTTATTGTTTCCCTATATCTGTTACTGTTTTCCTCTAGTGTATTTTTCATTTCAGTTATTATATTCTTCACCTCTGGTTGGTTCTTTTGAATGTTTTTATCCCTTTCTTGAAACTCACTTGATTTATTCACTCTTTTCTGCAGCCTGGTGAGCATCTTTTTGACCATTCTTTGAACTCTTTATGAAATAGGTTTCTTATCTTCATTTCATTTAGTTCTTTCTGTGGTTTTGTTTTCATTTAAACAAATATTCCTCTCATTGAAACCATATTCCTCTGTCTTCTCATGTTGTTTCATTTTCTGTGTATGTTTCTATGAATTAGGTGAAACAGCAATCTATCCCAGTCTTGAAGGAATGGTGTTGTACAGGAACCATCCATGTGTAGACTGCATGTGCCTGGTGACTTTGGCTGGCTGGCTGGAGCTGGAGTGGGTACAGACTGGGAGTTTTGTAGCATGCTGCATCGGGGCCACCCCAGTGGGATGCCTAGAGCTGAAGTAGGCCTGGGCTGGCAGTACCCTGGATTCTCAACACCAGGTCATCAAGTGTCAGAAATTTTTAAGCTTGCTTTTTAGTTCTGCTGCTTACTCCAAAAATCATTTTGGAAAAATGCAGAGAAAGTACGATAGGTCGTTCTCTTTAAAGTACAGACCAGATCAAAGATGACAGGTGATATATCTATGAGCACTTACTCCCTCTCAAACCCATAATTGACTAATGATAATCTATTTTTGAGAATTCTGAATCTTGAGTTCTCCCAGTTCTAATTTCTAAGGTCTCATCTTTATATGCAGTGCCATTTTATTGTCCAGGATTTAGTCTTCAGCATTGATCCAGTCAGAAATGACAAAATGGAGGTATCGTTCAAAATATGGCTTCTTTGCTATACCTTTAGGAGGGATAATGTAATGGGGCAGTTTACCTGAGGACAATATTAAAGCAGGTCTTGGTTAATGACTTGAGTTTGCTTAATTAAAAATTTGTTCTGGGGGCGCCTGGGTGGCTCGGTCGGTTGGGCTTCCGACTTCGGCTCAGGTCATGATCTTACAGTCCGTGAGTTCCAGCCCCGCGTCAGGCTCTGCTGACAGCTCGGAGCCTGGAGCCTGTTTCAGATTCTGTGTCTCCCTCTCTCTCTGCCCCTCCCCTGCTCATGCTCTGTCTCTCTCTGTCTCAAAAATAAATAAAAACATAAATAAATAAATAAATAAATAAATAAATAAATAAATAAATAAAAAAATATGAAATCATAAAAAATAAATAAATAAATAAAAAATAAAAATTTGTTCTGAATGAAAATGTCAAGTTTTTTTTTTAATGTTAATTTATTTTGAGAGAGAATGTGCACATGTGCACAGGCCCGTGCTGTCAGTGCAGAGCCCATCTTGGGTTCCATCTCATGAACCGTGAGATCATGACCTGAGCCAAAATCAAGAGTCAGAAGCTTAACCAACTGAGCCACCCAGGCACCCCAAAAATGACAAGCTTTTAATGCATGCACAGAAATTAACAATCCCAGCCTCCCAGTTTTCACATCAGTAGCAATTTGCATGCCCATGGACTAATTCTTATAGGTTATTACAAATAATTTTTATATAATAAAGACATTACCATATATGTATCTGAGTTGGGTTTAGGTTCATAATATAGGCTGATATCAGTACAATGGCAGAAAGAGCCTTTGGGTAGGTATAGAAATGGAAATATCTAAATAGTTAAAAAAATACTAATATAATTAAAATAATGTTTGAGATGGTTAAAATAACAAAACATTTTAAGTTTTAATTATTGTGAGAAATTTGCATAGGAAGTAATATGTGAAACTAACTTGATTTAAAAGATGTTATGTTCCAGGATATAATTTTTAAATTTTGATACCATTAGAATAATTAGTGGTCTCTGATATGATTTCATAGAGCTGTAATCAATACCAAATAACAGAAATTTTAAATTTTGTTGCACTTACTGTTTTAATATAAATCAAGATTGTACAATGCTTTGAAATCTTGAAAAGGCTTCTATTCTGGTATTGGTATCACATCGTTTACTTAAGGAATGTCCTACTTTGATAATTCCTGTTTAGAGTAATTCAGCTACCTAACTTTTCAATTTTTATTATATAATTTAAATGTTATTGTGGATTCTTGTAAACTGTTTCAAATCCTCTGAGAGCAATACAGGAAACAACAGAAACATAGCTTAAAGTACTTAAAAACTGGCATTTTCATCTGGAATAATTATTCATGTTATATTTGAGATATCCAAGCCCAGGAAGAAATGTTTATGGTAAAACAGTTTTCATCATTCTATAGCCATTTGCACAAATTTAGTCTTTATACTTCCAGAAACATATTTCTACTTTATATAAAATACCATATATATTTAACTTTAATTTTCAACCTTGAGAAAATTAATTGTTTAGAATAGTAAAATATGCCCTGGTCACAAGTCTTTTATAATGTAATTTAACAACTTATTTAGTTGTATTGAAGATACATACATACATACATATAGATAGATAGATAGATAGATAGATGTGTATATATATATATATATATATATGTATATACACACACACAGACTTACTAGTAATAGGTCTTTTTAAATTATGAGATTGTGTACATTCCTAAGTTTCCATTTTCATGTATTTTAAAGCCTTTTGTGTTTTTCTTTTCACTTTTTGAATGAATCAGAGACCAGAATTGAGTGGAATGCTATCTTAAACAAGTCAAAAATCTGTTATAACCTTTACATATACTACTTAAATGAAGAAAGGTAAAACACCCCACAAAATTCCAACTGATAATCACCCTATTCAGACACTGGTGAATATGTCCCTCAGTCCAAGCCGACCTTCTTCATCAGAGGTAAGAAAATCTTGTAAACTAAAATATAAGAAAATATAAGAAAAGCTTGCTTAATATTGTTTTTGAAAAGTTTTGAGAAAGCAAAATATGGATTATATAAAGTATTAGATATTAACTCCACTGTGTATCCCATGGTCTGATTACAATTATTTTATCCCAGTTCTTTTATCTATAGTTCATTTCCTCTAAGTGCTCTGATTTTATTGGTTCTCAGTGCATTGATCCTATCACCTGTTTTTTGTTTTTGTTTGTCTGTTTGTCTTATTCATCACCTTTTGATGCCCTCCACACTTTAAATACCATAGAACGATCTGGATTACTCTCTTTCTGATACTTTTGACTCCTTGGCCCTCTCTCATTTCATTATACTGCTTGGCAAAACAAAAACCCTGGTTAATCTAATTCTTCACCTATACTATACCTATGCCTACAGTGGAATGTGGCTAGAGAAAAATATACCAACATGAACATTGTTCTCACTTTAAATTCAGGACCATGAATCTCAACTGGAACCTTTTGCTGGTAGGCAGACTGTCTTCCACTCACTCATTTACTTTTCCACTGTTCTAGACAACTATTGCATACCTTCTCAAACCCCCAGTACCTTCTCTCCATTTTCTCTTTAAACCAGCTCCAATCAAGTTTTCACTCCACTACTGCACCAAAATTGCTCTTGTTAAATTCACCTCTACATTACTAAATCTGTTGTTTAATTCTTATCCTGCATATTTTTGGTCTATCTGTGTGCAGCAGTTGACACTGTTGATCACTCATATTTAACATAATTAATTCACTTGGCTTCTAGCATACACATCTTGGTTTTCCTCCTGCTTTCCTTGTTGTTCATTTTCAGTCTTCTTTGCTGGGTTTTCTTCTTCTTCCTGATCACTTAATAGTGGAGAATTTCAGGGGCCAGCTCTTTGTTTCTTCTCCATCTGCACTCATTCCTTGGTGGTCTCATTCTGTATAATAGCTTTAAATACCAACTTTAGGCTAAGGATTCCCAAATTTATATCCTCAGTCTAGTCTTCTTTCCCAAACTGCAGATTCATATTTTCAGCTTCCATCCCACATGGATGGCTAATACACATCTTAAAATTAGCATATCTCAAATTGAACTATGGATCTCTTCTCCCTCCCCTAAACATGTTCTCCCCATGACATTCTCCATCTCAGGTGATAGCAAATCCATCCTTTGAGTATCTGTGGCCACATGCCTTAGAGTCATTTTTGTTTGTTTGTTTCTCAAACTTCACTTCCAATGGACTAACTATAGCTTCAAATTATATAACAGTCTGACCATTTCCCATCACTTCTGCTAGTACATTGGAATGAGCCACCATCATCTCACACTTTATTCAGATAGCATCATAACAGGTTCCATTTTCTTGTCCCTTACAGCCTGTTGTATTAACCCTTTAATAGTTATTGAATATAGTAAACTTTGGAAGTAGAACATTGTATGTGTCCTATTGAAAGGCAAAATGAAATACAGGGCACCATTTATAAAGTATTCTTGCCCCCAGCTGACTAATTTGTGTCAGTTGAAGACTATACACAGTTAACTGTTTACAAGAGGGAAGTCTTTGTTTCAAAAACGCTTGTTGAACAAGGTTGGCTGGGAAGATAGTAGAGTAGGAGGACCCTAAGCCTGCTTCATCCAAGGATACAACTAGATAACACATCATTGTAAATAACCAAGAAAACTACCTAATAAAGACTGGAAGAACAAACTCTACAACTAAGGTAGGGAAGAGGCCACATCAAAGGAGGTAGGAAGGGCAAAGACAGGGTCTAGGAGCAAAAGGGACTATGGCCATCTTTGGTGGAGAAGGAGAGGTGTAGAGAAAGGCAGAAACAGACTTTCACACTGGGGCACCTACAAACAGGGAGGATGAATCCCCATAATATTTGCCTTTGAAAATGAGAGGGGCCAAATTTCTTGAGTTCTTACAACCAAAGGGACTTAAAGCCTGGAATTTTAAAAAATCAGCATACTGTACTCTGGAAGAGTATAGAGGGCTGTAGAAAGCCCCACCCATAAAGAGCACAACAAACAGTCCATGAAGACACAGGGTAGACATGGTTTGAGACATGTCAGGGGAAGTGGGAGGGTGAGTGATTTGTCATCACAGAGTGTGACCCAGAGACACAGGGATTACTGAGAGACGCCTCCAGGAAAAGGAGCAGACAGGCACCATTTCCCTTCCCTGTTCCCCCTCCTCTGGAATAAATACTGGCCACCTGTGGGAACCAGGGTGGTGCCTACACTCGTTACCTAACTTGCTTGTACTGAGTCCTGCCCCCTCATGCTTTGGCAGATCAGCCCTTCCCAGTCACACCTACCTCAGTCCCCACATTGCACATTCCTCCCCCAGAAGACTGGTGCAAACCCTGCCAACACCAAATCTCCTGACACATACATTTGGCAGGGCCTCATTTCTGGGAGCAGGAGGGGCAGATCCCATTTCACAAGCTGACTACTACACACCATGTTAAAGTGTATGCCACTCCTGCTGAGGACCACAATAGGCAAAGAGAGCCTCTGCAGACAACTGGACTGAAGGAAGTAAGATGCTAGGACTCAACAGCAGAGCACATGCAATGCACATAGGAAACATTCCCTGAAACACTAGGCCCTGAGGAACAGGGGACACTGTACTGCAAGGTACTATAGGACCTCTTCTTCATAAGACTGTTATTGTTAAGAGCAGTATTAGGAAAGCTGACTTTCCTAATACAGAGAAATGGACACAGAAAGTCGGACAAATAGGGAGGCAGAGATATCTCCCAAATGAAAGAACAGGACCAATCCACCAAAAGAGACCAAAGCAAAACAGTTAAAAATAATATGCCTGATAGAGAATGTAAAGTAATGATCATAAAGATACTTACCAAACTTGAGAAAAGATTGAAGACATCAGTGAGACCCTTAACAAAGAGATTTAAAAAAGAGAGAGACAGATAAATAACACAGTAAATGAAATTGAAAATATATTTGATGGAATAAATACCAGGCTAGATGAAGCAGAGGAACAAATTAGTGACCTGGAAGACAAGTAATGAAAAGTAACCAAGCTGAGCAAAGGAGAGGAAAGAAAATTATGCAAATTGAGAATAGTGCAAGGGAACTCAGTGACTCCATCAAGCATAATAGTCATAAGGGATCTCAGAAGAAGAAGAAGAGGTTAGGGGGCAGAAAATTTACTTGAAGAAATAATAACTGAAAACTTCCCTATTCTGAAGAGGATAATAGATGTCCAGATCCAGGAGGCACAGAGAGCTCTCCAAATATTCAACCCAAGGAGTTCCACGTGAAGACACATAGTAATTAAAATGGCAAAATAGTGATAAAGAAAAAAGTTTTTAAGCAACAAGAGGAAAAAAAAGACTGTTAAATACAAAGGAAACCCCATAAGGCCATCAGTGAATTTTTCAGCAGAAACTTTGCAGGCCAGAAAGGAGTGGCATGATATATTCAAAGTGGTGAAAGGAAAAATCTACAACCAAGAATATTCTATCCAGCAAGGCTATAATTCAGAATAAAAGGAGAGAGAAAGAGTTTCTCAGACAAAAACTAAAGGAGTTCATGAATACTAAACCAGCCCTACAAGAAATATTAAAGGGGACTCTTTGAGTGGAAAGGGAAGACCATAAGTGAGAGTATGGAAAGTAGAAAGCAGAAAAGCAGTAAAAATAAATATTTCTGTTTTATAATATTGATATCATAAATATCAAAGGACTCATAAAATAAAAAGATGTAAAGTATGATACCATATACCTAAAATGGGGTGAGGGGAAAAACAATGGGTTTAGACTTAAACTGACCATCAACTTGATATACACTGCTATATGCAGAAGATGTTATATACAAAACTAATAATAACCACAAATCAAAAACCAGTAATACATATGCAAAGAATAAAGAGAAAGGAATCCAGTCTATCACTAAAGAATGCCAACACACTGTAAAAGAGAACAAGAGAAGGATCAAAGAAAATCTGTAGAAATAACCATAAAACAAATAACAATGGAAATAAATACATACCTATAAATAATTACTTTGAATGTAAATGGACTAAATGCTCTTATCAAAAGACATACAGTGACGGAGTGGATGAATTAATAAGACCCATCAATATGCTGCCTACAAGAGACCCATTTCAGACCAAAAGACACCTGCAGGTTGAAAGTGAGGGGCTGGAGAAATATTTATCATGAAAATGGATGTCAAAAGTAACTTGGGATAACAATACTTACATTGGACAAAATAAGACTTTAAAACAACTGTAACAAGACAAGAAAGGACACTATATAATAATATTTATGTACCCAACTTAGCACAGAAATACATAAAACAGTTAATAACAAGCATAAAGGAAATAATTGATAATAATACAATAATGGGGCACTTTAACACCCCACTTAAATCAACGGACAAATCATCCAAATAGAAAATCAACAAAGGTATAGTGGCTTTGAATAACATACTGGACCAGATGGATTTAACATATATTCAGAACATTCTATCCTAAAACAGCAGAGTACACATTCTTTTCAAGTGCACACAGAACACTCTCCAGATAGATTAGGTCACAAAAGAAGTCTCAACAAATTTTAAAAAATCAAAGTCCTACTGTGCATCTTTTTTGACCACAATGCTCTAAAACTAGAAAACCACAGGAAAAAAATCTGTAAAGAGCACAAATACATTGAGGTTAAAATAGCGTGCTGCTAAACAACGAATGGATCAACCAAGAAATTAAAGAAGGTGAAAGAAAGTGGTCCAGGTTCATTCTTTTGCATGTGGCTGTCCAGTTCTCCCAACACCATTTGTTGAAGAACTTTTTTTCCCATTGAATATTCATTTCTTCTTTGTTGAAGATTAACCATATAATAATGGACTTCTGGCTTTCCTGTTCTATTCCACTGATCTATGTGTCTATTTTTATGTCAGTACTATACTGTTTTAATTGCTACTTCTTTATAAAATGAATTGA